AAACCTGCGACGATTTCAAACTCATGCGCCAAGCGCGTGAATCTTTAGCAAGATAGAAAGGCACCCAACGTATAATATGAAATAAAGTTTAAAACTTTTAAAGACAAGAATCTCTGAGTACCCCCCGTAGACCACTTATGAACAATTTGCCTTTAATTCCAGTAGTTAAAGCACATCAAATTGACTACAATCACGTTTTTTATTGCAAAAACGGAGAAATTCTTGATATACAATATTCGTACTTTAAACATTCGATTTCGGAAATTTTGAATAGTTATAAAAGAAAAAGTTTATTTACAAAAATACCTTTTGGCTGCCCTAGTGAAAATTTTTTAATGAAAATCTCAGAATTTTTCTGAAATTTGAGATTTTCAGAGAAAGGAAGGATTTTTCAGACTTTTTTAGTTTTTTTTATGAAAAAGTTTACTACATTAAGTTAATTACATAATGCATTATGTAATTAGGAAAATGTGAGTGTTTCTCTTTATGTAGATTATATATAGTATGAGACAATTAAAAGAATTCAAAAACATTTTGTATAGCATTTTCTCTAAACGCAGGCCCAGACACACTATATATTTTCATGATAAAGATTCATAAATATTTATTTCGAATTGTTTTTTTCAAAATATTTCAAATATTACGTAAATATTTTGTATTTTTTTTATATATACATAATTGGGGGAAGTATCAAAATCCTTATTCAAAATATTATTAAAATATAGACTAAATATTTTATACAATATCTATTGTAAACAAAAAATAAATATATATAGTAATATTTTATAAATATTTTATATAAATAAAGGAATAAAGTCACAAAACCTTTATTTAAAATATTAAAATATAGACTAAATATATTTTATACACAATATCTATGGTAAACAAAAAATAAATATTTGTAATAATGTTTTGTAAAAATTTCTACAACTATTATGAAAAAAATAAATGTAATTATTTATAATTATTAAATTAATGAAGAAATAAGGAAATCAAAACTTAAATTTTGATAATGTATACTAAAGAAAAATTTTTTTATTTAAAGAAATATATTTTGTTATATATAATTTCTTAACTTAAAAAAATATTTGTTACATTTGAGAAAACATGTAATAAATATAAAGTAATATTTTTTTAAATTTGTAAAATCAGCTGTAAAATTATGAATTTCTAGATAAAAAATGATTTCTTTGATTTAAAATATATACCAGGTGTAGAAGTATGAAACCGGAATTTTTTTATACAAATAAGACGTCTGTTGTTCGAAAGTGATAAATAATACTTTATTCAAAATAATTTCCACTGTTTTGAACACATTTTTCCCACCTCTCTGGCAGTTTATGAATGCCGTGCCAAAAAAACTTTTCATCTTTTGAAGCGAACCAGTTATCTAGCCATTTTTCCACATTTTCATACGAATCGAAGCGTTGGTTAGCGAGAGCGTGTCCTAGCGATGCGAACAGGTGATAATCGGACGGAGCCAAGTCTGGAGAATAAGCCGCATGCGGTAGTAATTCCCAACTGAACGACTCGATCGTTTCCTTGACCCGTTTTGCTGTATGTGATGGGGCATTATCATGGAGCAAAATGACATTGTGTTGCCTTTTTGCATATTCTGGTCGTTTTTTA